ACGGAGGTGTTTCCCTCCTGACCTCAATTTTGCTCACATATTATATTATGACATGCATTGGTGTTGCATGTAGAGTACAAGGCTATGCAACCACTACATCAACTTGTTTTGAGGGCTGGACACTGAGACCTTCCCGGTTGACTTAGATATCGTCTTCTTCACAACCTCCTTCTTTTGCTCTTGCTGAACACATTTGAGATAGTCACGTCTGAACTTGGTGAGGGGAATCCGCAACTCCATCAACCAAGGCCTAATGGCTCAGGCTGTAGGCCCTACAGTTACAGTGTAGGCTGCATCGCCATATAAACAGAACATACATGCCTTGGACAGCCTTGCAAAATATAGTGTCTTGAAATATGAAATTGTGACAAGGGACGCCGACCCCAGACCAAACTGGGGTTTTGGACAAAATCCGCCATAGACACCCATCCACCTAAGGTCGATTCAAGCTATCAGCATATAAATGTATGGGACCCATATTACAATTTCCAGCTGAATTCACATTATCATGTTTGCCAAATCTGAGTAAAGAACCATTTCACAAGAAGAGGTCGAAGTTGTCGGTGAAGTAGCAGTTGGATTGGGGGCATGGTGTCGATGCATGTACGGAGAGGATTCTCCAGTGCCCAAACACATCCACGTATTATGGCTATAAGTGCTAGAAGGCAGAATCTTGTACAGAGCACATTGCCCAGATATACAAATGGAAATGGGGCACCCCATGGATGCAAAGCAGATCTTTGATGTGTTGGGGATGCCATGAAACCAAAAGACTCGCATGGTACTCCACCAAATAGTAGTCCCAAAGGAGACAGCCTGAGCACCAAAGATAGGGCCTTGAGCAGCCCCATCTCAGAACCCAGATCCTGAAAGACGCTGTCCTTGAGGTGATCAAAGCCTTGCCTCAATAGTGCAGCTATGTTGAAGGGCATGACCTAAAAATTACCCATGCATATGTGATATATGTTGAAACATATTAAATATCAACCAAGCCACGCTCGAAATTTTCGGGCTCCTTAGAGAGGCCCATGTTTCCACATATTATATCTATAAATCGAATGATATATTGAATAAGTATCCACATGATGCAGATTTTCAAATCCTAGCTGTACAATATTGAGATAAGATTCTAAACCCTGTTACCAGGGTCTGTCGACCACTAAATAGCTCAACGCATGCCAAATCCCTTCCAGGACCACTGGCATTAACCTCACTGAGATAGTCCATTGCATGGATCCTGAGTGCTGCTTGGATGGCAATGGGAGAAAGTAGTGGTACAGGGACCAGTAATGGAATTTGTGATCTAGCTCTACAATGCTCTACATATAATTAATATATATATAATACGTACCTGTGCAGGCAGCAAGTGGTACAGGGACCGGTAATGAAATGACCTATAATTGTAGAACAAATATATAATATATAAGTTATAATAACGAAAAATTTTTAAGTTGCAGCAAAGTGTCAGGATGGGTGGCAATCCCATCATGACCATGGCTAGGCATTGTACACGGGAAATTTTGATGCTTTTGTGTGGCATCTTGGCTACACAAGCCTTCACCTTTGAACCCAAATCTGGCACAAAAAAACGTAGCCATTTCCCCCACAACTTGGGAATTGTTGAAAATGTCAATGGGATACATACTCTGCTTTGTTCCACCACATAGTTTCCAAATTGTATTTTTTTGGGTGTCTCAATTTGGTAAATCTATATTTCAATTGCTGCATGCAGAGAGGTGGAGGGATTGGCACCTCTTCTATAGGCAGCTGGTCTTTCTTGATCTTGACGTGAAATCAGGGAACCTGCGAGGGGTGTAGGTTTGTGACCAGTCATTGGTGTGAAAGTATGGAGCCATTGGGGGTATACTATATACATATGTATATTATAATATATATATAGTATCACATGAAAAAACAGTTTCACCCCATGATGTGGTAATAGTCAGATCACCATATAATTATATATATATGTACATATGCATGTAAAAGGAGCTGGAATTCCCCACTCAGCCAAAGACAAAGCAGAGTGAGGCATTTTTTTGTTCTCAAATGGCCAGGATCCAAATCCAAATCTGCATATCAGCCACTGGTGAAGACAGCCCGACATCCCCTATCGAGCCATCAACAGACAGCTTAGATAAATGTTGAAACCCACCCGGCCACATGGCGCAATTGGACTACGATTCACAGCTACACATGTTGGTAGCCATGCTCCAAGAAAAGCTCAGCTTTGCAGCCTTTACTCCAAGAAAAGCACAGGCTAGACACACTAGTACTGATATATCCCATCAGCTCACTCAGTTTTTGATGATTTTGGCACTTTCCGCAGCATGCAGCACCTGCCCAAGTGTAACCAATGGGGCCATGCAGCTTTAACTTAATAGTGGGTCTTTGGTCCTGTGGAGAATGCTGACTATACATGGAGAATGCAGCACATGTGTAACAAAATTATTGGATCCCTCATCAGCCTCCTTGTATTCTTTGGAGCCCGCATCCACCCATTCCGCAATCACCATCGCAGCATACCACCTGATCAATTCAGTAAGTACCTATAGCTATATGCAATCTAAACACACTGGCACCTTATTTTGCAACATATATATATATTATTATATTTTATATATTATACTATATATATATGTATAAATATTATATTTATTATTATATAATATTTTTTTTTTTGTGGCTTGGGTGCTTGAAGTTTCTCCAGGCCAAGAGGTTGGAAAATTCCTGCTGACACCCCCAAAGCTAGCTGCTAGTATAATAAGCTGCAGGTAAGACACGCCGTCTTCACATTCTCTAAGCGAAACCAGTTGATGGTGCAGCCCGAATTTGCATCCACCTGCACATGGGGGTTGATTTCATTTGGGCTATTTGGATTCCCACCACTTGATAAACACTATATATTGTTTTTTTGAAAACAAAACTATTGGAGCCTTGAAGTAGCTTTCAAGCATTTTTGGCACAACCGCTTTCCGGTAGACATAGAAGGATTCTGTGTATAGGAGAATGCCAATGTTGCACCCGAAGGGGCTGTGTTTGGGATTGCCACCAGGACGGGCTGTGAAAGACAGCTTCTGAAAGGTCTTCAAGTCAGGGGCACACATGTCACCCATGATTCCTGGACTCACTGAACTCTTCAAGTGTCTCAAGGCCACCTGAGCCCTTTCCACCCTCTTCTCACGTGCCGCAGTCTGCGCAGATTTCTGCTCAGATGACCCATCCTGTGCCTCTGTGCTAGCTGCTTCAACCTCTGGTTTGTTTTTCTTTGCCTTGCTCTGCTTGCGGTCTGCACTTGCAATTGGTTCCTTTTTGTCCTTCTTGGCCCTACCCTTTGGTTCAGTACTAGTAGATGCCTTCGAAGTCTTTTCTTTCTTGCTTGGCTTGCTTGCTGCACTTGGTGTTGCTGGAACTGTATCAACCTTCTCAACCTTCTCTGCCTTCTCTGCCTTCTTTGCCTTTGTTCTGGCTGCCTTTGGGGGGCTCTGATCATCATCAGAACCTGACCTCGAATTTGAACGGGATCGTTTTCCTCTTCCCCGACCTTTTCCACGGCCTCTCCCACGGCCACTACTTTTAGGTTCCTTCTTCCTCCCTCTGTCTTGCTTAGCCATCTCCTTCTCAGCATCAGCAGCTTTCTTCTCCTGCCACTAATGTATATAATATATATATATTATAATGATCATGAAGAACATATCGCATTAATGCAATCAAATTTAACTGATGTATTTGAACAGCACTCCTGACGGACTTTCTTGCGCATGGCTGCTTGCAAAGCAGGTACTTCGGGGAAGGCCCTTTCATCAACCAAGGCTTCCAAAGCTTCCATAGGCAACGGAACTTGGCCCTTGCCCCGAATGAGTGGTTCTCGATCCTCCCAACTTCTCACAACACAATTATATATAAAAAGGTATCACACAATATGCACAAATAAATACCTCCACTACCATCCCCAAACTTGCACACTCACAAACCAAGTCCTGGAATCCAGGTTTCAATGGTGATCGATGCTGCTCATCTGCAGGAAGTTCATCACCCTGCATGGTGCAGCTCTTTGGGTTGGAGTGCAGGTGGCTTGTGCAAATCAGAAGTGGCAAAAAATACCCCTGTGGCAACTGGGAAAATGTCGTAATTATTTAACATAACCTTCCCCACATTTTTTTTTGGCAAGGATATATATGTTATTTAAGATCATGGAGGAAATTTGTTTTTATATCCCTGAATGGCATGGGTAGAGGGCCTGGTCCGAGCTCATACCTGTCTCCTGATCATCATCATGATGTTGATCAGACGAATCATATTCTTCTTCATCATGTGGAGCATCTTGAGGCACCTAGCCAGGCACGACAGGTAGTACACATGCATGTATACAGGTGCATGTACATGTGTGTGTGTCTGCATGTAGATAGTCATAGCTATAGCTGGTACTGGCTTTAATTAGATATATATATATGATTATTATTTAATATTATTATAATATATATATATTATTAATATAAATATATGAGAAAAATAGGAGGGGCAATATAAAAACAGGCCTCATCATCCTCCAAGACAGACTCAGTTTTGTGCTCTGGCTCATGGTCAAAGCAAGGAGTGGGTGGTTCCTTCTGGATCTTCTTCTTGGCACTGGCTTCCAAAGGGTCCTACAGCAGGGGTAAAATGTGAATATCAAATATTAATAATTAAGTAGTATTGGCCATCAAAAGCATTTAGTACTAGTATAAGCTGAGGATAGCATGCATGGGTGAGCCTCCGGGAGATCTTCAATTGCAATGGAATCCGTAGACGGCTTTGACTCCAATTTCTTTTCCTGTACCCAGATCATCCCATGCATGGATGAGAAACAATTTCTGGGCTTGAAGTATCTGAGGAATATGGATTTGGGCAACTACTCTGCTGTTTCACCTTGACTTCGTCCAACTTGCGAAGCTTGGCCACAATCTTCTTCAGGACTTGAATTTGTGGCTGCCTGCATGGATTACATGTCAATACAATAATTAGGCCAGGAAGAGAGTGAGATGCATATTAATATCCCACCTTGCCACCCGTGTACGGTATGTGATCCGAACCACATGTGCACAAAGTAGACGGAACTTGGATGCTTCAAGGTTGGCCCAATCCTCCCAGGTTTAATCATGGCATGATCATGATGATCAGTGGTTATACACTGGCCATGGGGATTGTGACTCCTGATGACAAATCAGTCCTTCACTTGTCCACGCCCTCCTCTTTTCTTGTAGAGCTCTTCTGGGAATAGGTTCAGATTGACTGCAAGGAGTGCTACAGCTGCCTTGATGCATGTTTAAAGATGGGTCACCTCATGAGTGTAGACAGTGTAGATACTCCCATGGATGTGGTTTTTGCATGTTTTCTGTAAACACCCACCGGTTGTTCCAAGTCACTTGGTGGTGCTCTAGGTGTGGTAGCCCGTCCTCATCACCAGCAAAGGTGATCAGGTACTCCTTAAGCAAGCCATAGTGCTTCATGATGTCTTCCTCATGGACCTTAGCATATGTGAAATAGCTGGAATAGTCGAAAGTGATGAAACAAAAAATCAATGCCACCCAGAAACCACCATTCTGGCTTTGTCCCAAACAATCAGCCTTTTGTCCTTGGATGCTGCTGCATATGCTAAAATTGATGGGGGTAGAATTTCATATGAGCTAGTGCTATTTATATATATATATATATGTATATTATATATTGATTATAAACATATATAATCACATATACATATATATTTATATGTAGTAGTATAGATTATTATGTATATATATATATTATAATCATATTATTTGAGCTGAAGATCCGGGTCTTCCATGATGCGAGGAATTTCATCCCGCATGACCTTCTCCAGGATTGCATAGATCATTTCTCCTTGCTCCTTGGTATATGAAGCAGAATTGATTACCCATGGGCCACCCTTTAAAACAACTTGGTACTATCAGGTGGGTCAGGGTATCAGGTCATATTTTTTTAAAGCAAGATACGTGAATGTGCACCACCATTGGGCTATAGAGGTGCTTGATGGGCAATCCATGAACATCAGGTTGCAAAACAACCATGGCTTCACACCCCAGCCAAACACCAGTGAGCTGAGGAACTGGTGCTGCAAACAGCTGCCCTTGAGCAAAGAAAAAAGAACGGGCGGGTCAGGCAGTGAGGTGTCGCTGCATGATAACCCACACCAAACCCCACCATCCCAAGTGCAAAAGAGGGGGGAGCGTACTCTGGGCGAGGCATGCTTGGCGCAACAAGCCCATTTCCCAAATCTTTCTAGCTACCTTGAGTGAAAATGTTCTTCTTATGCAAAGATGTGACCAAACACCTGAATAGCTGGTGTTCTGACCCAAGTACCCGCTCAGCATGATCCTGATCAAGTGCCTTGGTATGAGGGTTTTGGATGCCTAGGGATTGTGATTTGCAACTGTAGGATCGTTCCCGCAATGTAAATGGGATTGCAAGTGGTGCTGGTGGATGAGTTGCTGATGGAATTCCATTGTGATTGGCAACTGTAGGATCGTTTCCGCATTGTAAATGGGATTGCAAGTGGTGCTGGTGGATGAGTTGCCGATGGAGTTTTGAAGGAAGTCTCGCACGAAATGCGTTTTTGAGAGATAGCAGATGCACGAAACCCTATGTTTTTCCATACAAAGTCCGTCCCCGAACCTCGATGATCTACCTCTGCGGTGCGACGGGTGCGAGACGGTCTCGTGTGTGGTCGGATCATGCTCGGATCATGGTCGGATCGGTTCCGCATTGTAAATGGGGTTTCACCTGTGTTTCGTGCATGTGCGGTCGACAGAATTCCCCCCTTAAACACCTGGTGGTAAGCCTCTGAGGTCTCGGAAACCATGGACACTGCCCTGTCCAACCGAAGCATCTTAGGCTCAGGGAGCCAGTGGTGGGAGCGGCGGGTCTTTTCAGATCCTTGAGCCATAGGCTTGGAGTGCTGGTGGATGAGTTGCCGATGGAATTCCATTGTGATTTGCAACTCTAGGATCGTTCCCTCAATGTAAATGGGATTGCAAGTGTTGCTGGTGGATGAGTTGCCGATGGAATTCCATTGTGCTTTGCAACTGTAGGATCGTTCCCGCAGTGTAAATGGTTGCGTCAAGGTTGCTTTTTGCTGTGGCTGCATTGGTAATACTATTGTCTTTTGCAGCTGGACTTCGTAAATCGTATTGGAGTGGCTGCATGAAGGCTGCCACAGTGATTTGTCAGCAGATTTTCTCCATTTTGGCGCCAGTGAATTTCCTTCTAAAAATCCTTTTGAAAAGTGCTTCAAAATCGTCTTTTTTTCGCTCTGGCGTCGAGATCCGGTTTTGGAGCTACAATTTCCGACGCCGTTGTGTGCGTAGTTCTATTGTGTTTTGCGACTCAGTCTCTGCAGATCGCATTGTAATGGCTGTGTCAAGGTTGCTTCGTGCTGTGGCTGCATTCGTAATATTATTGTCTTTTGCAGCTGGACTTCGTAAATCGTATTGGAGTGGCTGCATGAAGGCTGCCACAATGATTTGTCAGCAGATTTTCTTCATTTTGGCGCTAGTGAATTTCCTTCTAAAAATCCTTTTAGAAAGTGCTTCAAAATCGTCTTTTTTTCGCTCTGGCGTCGAGATCCGATTTTGGAGCTACAATTTCCGACGCCGTTGTGCGTAGTTTTATTGTGTTTTGCAACTCAGTCTCTGCAGATCGCATTGTAATGGCTGCGTCAAGGTTGCTTCGTGCTGTGGCTGCATTGGTAATACTATTGTCTTTTGCAGCTGGATCTCGTAAATCGTATTGGAGTGGCTGCATGAAGGCTGCCACAGTGATTTGTCAGCAGATTTTCTCCATTTTGGCGCTAGTGAATTTCCTTCTAAAAATCCTTTGAAAAAGAGCTTCAAAATCGTCTTTTTTTCGCTCTGGCGTCGAGATCCGGTTTTGGAGCTACAATTTCCGACGCCGTTGCGCGTAGTTCTATTGTGGTTTGCAACTCAGTCTCTGCAGATCCTATTGCAATGGCTGCGTCAAAGTTGCTTCGTGCTGTGGCTGCATTCGTAATACTATTGTCTTTTGCAGCTCGACTTCGTAAATCGTATTGGAGTGGCTGCATGAAGGCTGCCACAGTGATTTGTCAGCAGATTTTCTCCATTTTGGCGCTAGTGATTTTCCTTCTAAAAATCCTTTTAAAAAGTGCTTCAAAATCGTCTTTTTTTCGCTCTGGCGTCGAGATCCGGTTTTGGAGCTACAATTTCCGACGCCGTTGCGCGTAGTTCTATTGTGGTTTGCAACTCAGTCTCTGCAGATCCTATTGCAATGGCTGCGTCAAAGTTGCTTCGTGCTGTGGCTGCATTTGTAATACTATTGTCTTTTGCAGCTGGATCTCGTAAATCGTCTTGGACTGGCTGCATGAAGGCTGCGAAATGGATTTGTTAGCAGATTTTCTCCATTTTGGCGCTAGTGTTTTTTTGTTGCACGTAGGATTAGAGCAGTGTGAAGTGTGGGGCGTGAAGAGTGCAGTGTGAAGTGTGCAGTGTGAAGGAAGCAGTGGGAAGTGAGAAGTGTGAAGTGTGGAGTGTGAAGTGTGAAGTGTGGAGTGTGAAGTTTAAGTTTGGAGTGCGAAGCGCGCAGTGTGAAGTGTGAAGTGTGAAGTGTGAGGTTTGGAGTGTGAAGGAAGCAGTGGGAAGTGAGAAGTGTGAAGTGTGGACTGTGAAGTGCGAAGTGTGAAGTGTGAAGTGTGGAGTGTGAAGTTTCAAGTTTGGAGTGCGAAGAGTGCAGTGTGAAGTGTGGAGTGTGGAGTGTGAAGACTTTGCTTCGTCTCTCGCTGAAAAAATCACACGGTTGTCGAGGGAAGGACACGGTCGGGACAGGTTGTCTTTGAACTATAGGTCATTTATGTTTGGGAAACTTCCGCCGCCGGCTTGCCCGGGTCTATGTTACTTCTTTATTTAAACTTCCCCCCCCTGCGTTCCACTAAACGACTGTCTCCATTCTACTTCTTTATTTAAACTTCCATTCTACTTCTTTATTTAAAATTCCCCCCCCTGCGTTCCACCATACAATTGTCTCCATTATACTTCTTTATTTAAACTTCCCCCCCCCTGCGTTCCACTAAACCATTGTCTCCATTCTACTTCTTTATTTAAACTTCCCCCCCCGGCCCCTGCCTTCCACTAAACCATTGTCTCCATTCTACTTCTTTATTTAAACTTCACCCCCCCGTGTTCCACTATACCATTGTCTCCATTCTACTTCTTTATTTAAACTTACATTCTACTTCTTTATTTAAACTTACATTCTACTTCTTTATTTAAACTTCCCCCCCTGCGTTCCACTAAACCATTGTCTCCATTCTACTTCTTTATTTAAACTTCCCCCCCCCTGCGTTCCACTAAACCATTGTCTCCATTCTACTTCTTTATTTAAACTTCCCCCCCCCCGCGTTCCACGTGTCGTTGTCTCGATTTTACCACCATTTTTTCCCCACATCTTTGTGTGGGGTTCTTGTTTTTGGTTCTGCACCCCGCCGCCTCCTCCTCCTTCCGCCTCCTCCGCCTCCCGCCGCTCACTTGTCATCACACAACTTGCTCACACACAACTTGCCCACACACAACTTGCTCACACACAACTTGCAACTTGCCCACACACAACTTGACTTGTCATCCCACAACTTGTCCTCACAACTTGCTCACACACAACTTGCCCACACACAACTTGTCATTACACAACTTGTCATCACACAATTTGTCATCACACAGCTTGTTTTCACACAACTTGCTCACACACAACTTATCCACACCCAGCGATATTGACACTTTGCGTGGCAGGCGTGGCACTTGGTGACATGGATCGTCACTTTGCGGGGCAGGCGTGGCACTTATGGCACTGGGCTGGCTCTGGTGGCGCGCTTGGGCCGGAGTGGACGGGATGGACGCCGCAGCTTCGAAGTCAACATGCACAAAACACACCATGTTCGGACCGCTTGTAGAAGTTGAGATAGAGAGATAGAGAGATAAAGAGATAGAAAGAGAGAGAGAGAGAGTCAACATGTACAAAACACACCATGTTCGGACCGCTTTTAGAAGTTGAGATAAAGAGATACAGCGATAACGAGATAGAAAGGGAGAGCGAGAGAGATAGAGAGATAGAGAGAGAGATAGAGAGATAGATAGATAGATAGATAGATCGATCGATAGATAGATAGATAGATAGAGAGAGAGATATATATATATAGATAGATAGATAGATAGAGAGAGAGATATATAGGTAGATAGATAGATAGATAGATAGGTAGGTAGATAGATAGGT